GGGGGGGGCCGTGGCAAGAAAGTGCGCCTTCAGAAGACGGCATGACTTCCATCTAGGCCCGATGCCTTCTCCCCACCCGATAAACAGCCCTCCCCTTCAGGATATCCATCATCTCCTCCCTCCGATGACTCATTCTAGCCCCCTCTCGACTTCGAGGAAGGAGGCAGGAAGGGATGACGAGGTGTGATCGACCATCCTCCAGGGTTTTTTTCAGAAGGTGATGTCATCAAAATCCCGACCGGAATATGAAGGATATCGATGGGAGAGGCGGGGTTGGGGTTGGGTTGAGTTGGCCCAAGTCGAGATGAGTCGCGTCACCCCCAGGAGGGCTGGAGATCCAGAGCTAGACGATGATACCAGATACCACCGGCCAGAGCATAGCGTGAGACTTGACTATCATCAATGTCAAGAACGAATGGCAAGTCGCCATCTTCCGAGGCCATCAGCTCTCCTACCAGCCATCTTGTCCTTGCCCTGCCTGGTTCTAGACCTCTTCTTCTTCTACTTCTTTTTTGATTATATTACATTACATTATGTTATATTATAATTTTTTTAAAATATTTTAAATTTAAAAATTTTTTTTTTTTTAAAAAAAAAGGGCCTTGTGACCACCAATATTCTCTGCATGCATATCCGTACCGATGTCGATAATCCGGGAGCCCCCAGACCCGAGCTGGACCACGGCCCAGAAGAGATGCGCCTACATGTGCAGAAGAGAGAATGACTGTAGTGGTACGGCCTTCTTTTATCATTGTATGCTATTCGACATTCTCGATAGTAACAATACTATATCAGGCACTATATCAGAAGTTCCAATCTGTTGCCAAGGCTTGCCAAGTCTTGACCGCCCCTGCCTCCTGCATGGTGACGCCGACCAGCTGGTTGGGCTGAACGCTGGAAGAGAAAGGTATGCCAACTGGACAAGACAGAGCAGCACAGTCTGGAAATGTCAAGCGTCAAACGTCCGAGGGAAGTAGATCCCTGTCACTCATTGCCCGTCCCCC